GGGTTTGGCTTGGCATTAAAATATTGCATCAAAATGCCATCACAAAGAGAAGTGCCATCTCGCTGTCCCCACCCTGGCTTTCTAATTTGTAAAGAACAGCTAGGTTCAGTTCAGTTTAGCTAGGGCACGTTGTCTCCATCTTAACATTTTTAACCACTCATTTCTCAATACAATAAACAAATGAGGTACACACACACACACACACACACACACACACACACAGAGAGAGAGAGAGAGAGAGAGAGAGAGAGAGAGAGAGAGAGAGAGATCAATTATTTAATGAAAATTTTCACATAATAATCAAAATGTATATAATGTTTCCATGCAGTGAGGTTAATTCATTAAATTACATTTTGAGGCCACCCAATTTCTTAATAACTTTGTCTCCCTTGCAATTAAAAAACAAAAACAACATATATAGAAAAATTACAGCAGACTAGAAGTAGCTATACTACCAGTAAAAAAAAGCCTAAAGACCATAAAAAGCATTCTTTTCCAAGAAACAACCAATTGTCATTAGGATAGGAGTCATACAAATCTCTGGGAATCCCTGAGGTTACATTCAAAGCCTGATTCAAATATTTGAAAAAGTGACTTTGAAAAAGAAAAAATGGTAAAATTGATAAAAGCTTGATTTCCCCAAAATAAGTGTTCACGTTGAATTTATATTTATAATTTATAACCTATAAATGCATCAATTCAGTCTCTTAAGAACCAAAGTTATTAAATAACAATAAACTATCCAACGTATTATGTGAAGCTAAAGCTATAAAACACTTAGAACTTTACCATCAACTTTAAATGTTCAGCAGTAGCAAAACTGAATGTAATATTTGTTATTCCATATCACAGCTGCATTTTCCGCTGTACTAACACTATTAGAATCATTCGTAAATTCCAAGTATTCATCAATGATGTATTGGGAAATATGTTTTATTTTTTAATTGGGAAAGCACTATCGGTCTGTGTGTGTAGAAATGCAATAGAAGTTCAGTTGGCTCTTTCTGTAAATCTATATTTGAAAGAACTTTATCATAGCACTGTAGAATAAGGAATTCTATTTCTGAATTTAGAAAAATATATATTCAGACATTGTTTACTGCTGGAATTTGGTAGAAATCGACAATGCCTTGTTTATGTGTAAACCATTTGTTTTATTAAATTTGTACTGTTCTTAATTTCATTAAAAAAAAACAACATTTACTGTAAATATTACCTGAGTAATACCACAAGAACTCTATATTTATAGAAAATCTTACATAAGATACCCAGTGGCAAGTTTGATCAGCGATAAAACAATAAGTATTTTTATTAAATGAACTGGTGATTTGTGGATTTGTTGATTAAGAGTGGTTGAACATGGGAAGAACGATATTATAATGTAACTTTAATAGGGAGAAGGAATAAGTTTAACTGCTATAAAGAAGATCAGAAGTTATTTCTTGATCTTTCTTTTTTTCTTTTTTGAATCTCTCCATACTTTTTGTAGCTATTTTCTTTTTCTTTATTTTTTCTCTATATTGGTTCACATTTATTTTATTTTTGTAGTATATTATATTACTTCTGTGCTACAAGTAAAGTGTGTTAGATTCTGTTTCAAGGCTTAAAAATCTACTCAATTTTCATCCAGGATTAGTCAGCCATTATGTATGCACATGTAATTTTCTTCTTCAATCAACAGAAATTATATCCCATCCTTAAATGAAACATGTTTAAATATACCCCTGATGGCACTTTTATTGTTGTTTATCTCATACTTCTTACACTACTCAAAAAGTCTATATTAAGGATTTACGTAATATTCCAATTTATTAGTGCAATCAATGAATATACTGATGACCTGCTAAAGGCGCAGATCAGCAATAAAAATAATTTCCTTAATTGAATGACCATTCTACCTAAAAACAATGCAAAATACATAATAAATCAAATAGGCAGAACTTTTCTTTTTGAAAGCATATTCTTTCTGGATTGAGGTTTTCAGAGATAAGTCCCCTAGTGAGAAGGACTCCCAAGTATTTAATACGGAGCTCTGACCAGTCATACATTCCCTTAATGCAGAATGAACTGAAGAAGCTTCTTGGATAAGAAGCGAAACGTCTTCAGGGAAAAACAAAGAAAGTCCAGTTGCCTTTTGAAAAGCACCTTTGGGACAGTAAATCCTGAACTGTTGAGATTCCATTGCTCCAGTATGTCTTTAAATGTATAGTTCTAATCCTACATAGGGATGCAGTGGCTCAGTGGCTAAGACGCTGAGCTTATTGATCAGAAGGTTGGCAGTTCAGAGGTTCGAATCCCTAGCACCATATAATGGAGTGAGCTCCTGTTACTTGTCCCAGCTTCTGCAAACCTAGCAGTTCGAAAGCATGTAAAAATGCAAGTAGAAAAATAGGGACCACCTTTGGTGGGAAGGTAGCAGTGTTTTGTGCGCCTTCAGCGTTTAGTCATGCCGGCCACATGACTACGGATATTTCTTCAAACAGCGCTGGCTCTTCGGCTTTGAAACGGACATGAGCACCACCCCCTAGAGTCAGGAGCGACTAGCACATATGTGCAAGGGGACCCTTTACCTTTACCTTTAATCTACATAGGCTTTATCTTTCCACAAAAGCCCCATTCCAGTGGAACACTTTATTTGTGCTTTTTTATTTTATTCATTTGTTTATTATTTATTAAATTTCTAAACCATCCAATTCTAGACAGCCCTGAGCAAAGTCACAAAGTTTGAGAAGCAACAATTTCATAAAGAAAAAACAAAACTCTATATAATTACCATCAAAGGGAACAAAACCATCTTTTCACATTCTCCTTCAGTTCATTTATTCTGTTATTCTGTTCTGTTCTATTCGATTCTGTTCTGTTCATCAAAAGGGCCCCTCCATCTATCTTAACCATAAACCTGGGGGGGAAATCTTTTTAAAGAATGCTTCAATGCTGGTAAGATGGAAACCTACACAGGTCTTTGAGGTGCATGCTATTCCAAAGGTTACCATGACCAACAGAGTTTTTCAGATAATCCCTCTGCCAATGTTTCTGTCTTAATATCTGCATAAGGAAAGCCTACATATGTACAGAATACTAAAGAGGACTTGGCATTCACCTGGTTTAAGTGGAACCCTCTCCACCTGTTCTTGTACATGTATATGATTTATCCTGGAAATGTCAATTGAGACATTAGTAGGGGCAAAATTTAACCAGAACATTCAAAGGGTTCTGGTTTCAACAGCATCTGAATACATCTAGTATTTATGCCACTATTCACAGTGTACTCTTTATATTCAATTGGGTATGAATAATCAGTTCCATCTCAGAATGGTCTAACATTAGGGTCCTTAAAGATGCATAAAGGAAACACACTTGCTGTTTAAGCATTACAAAGATGAAGATTGGTTACCTTTAAAAATTTAACACACATACACACACACATTCTCTTAGGCAACATATTTGAACTCACTCATCATAAAAGACATTATTTTTACATTTTAAGGAAGTCTATTTCTTAATCTCACTTTCTCAAGAGTCATTTATTGCATGCACAGGGAGCTGCATATATACATATACATGCACAAAGATGCAAATGTACAAGCTATAAATCACACATACTATTTTCATTCATTTATGGTTCTTTATGCACTGAATGATTAATAATAATAAGAATATCCAAAGGGACATTCTGTATACATAGCAATATCTACTGGCATAGAAAAATTCAGGAAATTAGTGGATCTTGTTCAATGTTTTTTGCTTCAATTGCCGAAGATGATAAAATATTAATGTGTTTTTGATCATGAAGATAATGAAATTTTAAAAGGTAGTTCTTCATTAGAAAGAAACAAAATTAAGAATCAGTAACTAATAAATTTAATTAAGATTTTAAGTAGTGATCCAGCAACAAATGTTATATACTGTGTTTAATTACTGTAAGTGTTCAATTTTCTACATTTTGAGAGCCACTGTGGTGCGGAGGTTAAGATGTTGGAATGACAACAGAGAGAATTAGGTTTTAGTCCTGTCAGGCACCAAAACCCAAAAATGACATGTGGAGTTATTTCCAAGCAGTTTCCTTAATTGTTCTTCATCTGTAGACAGAAATCTATACTTGCATTATTAAAAATACACTTTGAGAATTGCTAAGGAGGTGCTGTCTTAGCCCATTTTCTCCCAACCAAACTATCTAAACTTCGCTATCTCTTGGCCATCTAAAATGCAACTCCTTTCTCTTGGGACTAGACTACATTCCACCATAAAACCATCCATAATCACAGTTTATTGTGGATGAAAGGAAGGAGGAATTTCTAAATTTCTAAAAATATCGCAGGAAAAATGAATAAAGGAAGCTAATGATTTTGCTGCTTTGGTAGCTGCATTGGTAATCAGTTGATTTCCAGATGTAATTCGATGTGATGGCTATCTTTGAGACTTCTCATGGTCCAGACCCAATTATCTGAGAACTGCCTTTTCCTGTATTCATTTGTCCCCGTTCAACCAGTTAAAATGCAATAAACTTCCTATAGATCATGTCCTTACAGGGCTGCCACATGACGGAACAGCAAAAAGAAGTATTTCCAATAGCTGCCCTCCCTCTCTGTAGAAATTAGACCACCCCATCCTTCTGAGGCCTCAGCAAAATGCTGAAGACCTATGCTGTACAAAAGCCTGTTCTGTGATTTCAATATGGAGTTGGACACATTTATATTTCTTGGTGAGATCTACACACAGNTGTGTGTGTGTGTGTGTGTATGTGTGTGCGTGCTGTATATATACCATCTATATTCATTCAGTTATTCTTATTTATCATTTTTATAACCCACCCCAATCCAAATACTTCACATAGGCAACACTGTAGAAACATAATAGCAATTATGTTTTACCATGATTTTTGTTTAAAAAGAATACAAATTTATATTAATATTCACTGCGTTTTTATTAGGAAACTGTATTAATGCAAAACTTTTATGTAAGATGAGATGAGATAAAGATAAAATCCAAGAAAGTTTTACCTATTTGTTTTCTGTACTGATCCATAGGTATTTTTGCAGAAGCAGCATCCTTTCTACCCATTTTTCCGTATTTATGAACTCTATAACAAAATATTAAAAAATGCTTAAGAAACTTCACAACCATTTTTAATGCAGGTCTCATGCATCATCATAACTAATCAATCAATACATTATATACATACAGGACAAATATAAACAGGACAGAACTTGGTTATGGAGAAAATAATCCATATAATCCTAAAATAGGTTTGAAAAACCTTAGGAACAGCATAGATTGACGCTGAATGTGTGGTGAAACAAACGAAAACTATTTCTTTCAAGTTACATGTGTTTCATAGCTTGACAAAATGAAATTTATTCTGACTGTATTTGTATTTTCCAATCATTTCTTCCTAACATTCCTGAAAGGTCCAACTCTGTCCTCTTTTTCTCAATGACCCAAGCAACACATGTTAGCTTCTTTAAGGTTTTTACCAGTCACCTGCCAGCCAGGAAGAGAGAATAGTAGCAAATCAAGGAGGAATCAACTTGATCTGTAATATTTAGTGCCATTCACAACTCTAAACCATGGAATATCAGATGAATGCCTGCACCAACAAGGCATTTCAACATTATTCTAAAGAATCAGTCCTTCAAAATAACTACACTATAGCTTCTGTGAAAGCTCTAATTATCTTTTAATTCTTCAGATACACTACAGATATTAATAGATTTATCCCCTTTTCTTTGAATTGTGAGCATCATTCATAAACTATTTATAAATCCTGTAAGGAACATTTATAATTTCCTCTGCTGATTCTGTTTCTCCATCCGTCTGTCTACCTACACACACACACACACACACACACACTACAGATAACAATATAAATACAAAATCTATCTATCTATCTATCTATCTATCTATCTATCTATCTATCTATCTATC